AGTTTTTGATTGGTTAACAATTGGCAAAGTATGAGATGTTACAGTTTAATTGGTTAGTACTGGTGGTCTTTGTTCTTAGGCTAGGGCAAAGGAAAACATCTGGCATCTGGCCTTGGGTTGTTCTGTCTATTACTTATCTATGGCTCGCTGTTGCTAGGGGTGAAAGGATATTCTAAGGCAACATGAGCTGATTTAACACATTCCTGGAACAGGAGGACGTGTTCAGGCTAATGTACAGAATGGAAACTGACCTTGTCTCTGGAGGGAACTAAAAACTGAGGCCTTGTCTATCTGAAATGTTTCTTGAAGCCTGACTAAAGTTTGGTCAAGTAGCTAGGCAAAATCAGTTAGGGCCTTACACCACAAGTGCCATTGAGTTGGTTCTGACTCATAGGGTATCTGGGGAGCGCCTGGTGAGTTTGAACCACCAACCTTGTAGTTTAAACCAACCTTGCGGTCGAGTGCTTATCCTACAGCACCACACCATTGTTGTTGTTAAGTGCCTTTGAGTAGGTTCCAACCCATAGTGAACCTGTATAGTGTTTCTGAGGAGCGGCTGGTGGGTTTGAACCACCAACTTTGTAGTTCAAACTGACCTTGTGATCCAACGCATTACCCTGCAGCACCACACCAAGACTCTACCATGGTGGTGGTGGTGGTGATCATGTGCTGTGGAGTCCGTTCTGACTTGTAGCGACCCTGTACAGGGTTTTTGAGGCTTCTTTCTCCCTGGGGACAGCTGTTAGTTTCGAACTGCTGACCCTGAGGTTAGCAGCCCGATTTGTAACCACTATACTACCAGAGCTCCTTGGACTCTACCATATATATATCCTTTAAAAAGAGCTTTCTTAGCCTGAGAAGCCCATAGCAGTACAAGGTCATCTTCCTGTTGCTTCTGCTTTCTCAACCTTAATGGGAATTTTTCAGTGTTCCCAAACATGAGCCATCCCAAGAGTGTGCTTTTTTCCTTCTTTTTTTTAAATGGTTGAATTGTATCCCCTGAAAATGGGATTGTTTTAATTGTAGCCTGCCACTTTCCCTAACAGTGTAATAGGAACTTACTGAATAGGAAGCAATTTCAGCGCTTAAATGTGCTGATGTGATGTTTCTTAATCACTTTAATGAGCTTCATGCACTAGAAATGGAATAGAATTTTCAATGGAAATATAATTACATAGAAAAGTCATTTCCTATGCTTGTGACTTCCACCTGATCGTCTCTTTATTCACCTCCATAGAAAGTGTGCCTGACAGGCTTATAGGGTATTATTATACAGGCTAATTTGCATAATTCATTTAAGTCAATAGAACTGAAAACAATATAAATACATAATAAATTTCTTTAGAGATCAAGAGCAGCAAGACAGGGTAAAAGTTTCAAACTGATTTTTCTTTTAATGTTTGATAGTTTTCATTAGTTTTACCTGATTTTTTTTGACTCAGCAATATCTTGTCTAAATCTAACTTGGTCATTTAATGATACCGTTTTCAGCCTGGCCTGTGTAAGACAAATTCTCAGAGAAAGCAGTTAAAAACAAACAAACAAACAAACATAAACAATCTTGTATATACTTCCTTCTCATATCTGAACAATTTTGCTGAGAAACAGTACAAAGAAAGTTTTATTATTCTCATGTTGTGAAACCAGAACAGCAATGATCTTTTAATTTACTTTGGAATCCTGATGATTTAAATGTAGTCACTGGCCTCACTACTGAACTCTTTGAATTTTTTCATTTAACATAATGTTTTTGGGAATCCAACAGGCATTCTGGGATGGTTTGGAAATTCGTTTTTAATGTTAAATGTGGGCTTTGTGATTTTTGTATCTCAGTATACCTCAGAAGCCCTATACAGGCTTGCTATGAGTCCGAACCAACTTAACGGCCCAACAACAACAACAAATACAAGTAGACAAAATGACTTGCACTCCATTTAATGAGTACGATCAGGCTGGACTTACTTACACTGCACTTAAGGAAATATGTATTTTTGTTGTTGTTTTGTGTGCATTTAAATTGGCTTTCACAAACAGAAACTGATTTTCTCAGGTGTCAGTTGTAGGAAAGGCTCTCTCCCCGTTGGCTCCAGAGGAAGGCATTGAGCTTCTCCTTCTGGCCAGTTTTCCAGTGGCTTGGCATTTCTCTTCCCTCACCCAAATGTTTGATTGATAGATTGATTCCTAAACTTTGTATTGTGAATAGAGCAAGGTTACAAAGTAGACCATCGGGTTTACATCCAACAAGTCATGTATTTCGTTTCCTCTCACTGCTAATCCTTTCAGTGCAACATCACGTCTCCTACTTCCTGTGTTTCTTGTTTCTTTCCATTTCTTCTTTCCTAACTCTTCAGAAATTTGTCTTTGGATAAATGCTGCCCTTTTCATAGTGAATTGTTGACAATTCTATGGTGTGTGTAACTCATGCCACGGAAGTGAGTTCAGTTTCAGACCTGAAGGGTGACCAAGTGCCATAGTCTTGGGTTCTATAGAGAGAGTCCTGGTGTGGTGCTGTGGGATAATGCACTGAACTCGAAGGTCAGTTTGAACCACAAGGTTGGTGGTTCAAATTCACCATCTGTGTAGTCTGTGAAGTGTGCAAAGAGCATTATGACAAAGGTTGGAGTAATAACAAAATCTGGTGCACTACGTGAGCAGATGCTGTTGGAAAAATGATCCATTAGACTTGCTCAAAAGAGGGTGACCACAAGCCTTGTCTCTGTAAAGGAAGCAAGTCTGCAAATCACAGTAAAGCAAGTTGCAGTGGGATGAACTGTGGCCAAAACTGCCAAGAGTGGTGAGGCTAGACACAAGTCTGAGGCTAGGTTCTGATTCAAAACAAAAATAATGACAAAACACTCTCTTAATTCTATTTTCTGTAAAATTTCTGCAAAACCCTCCCCAAATGAGATGTTGGGAGTGCTGTGGTTCTGTAGGATAAGCACCGAACTGCCAAGCACAGGTTGGCAGTTCAAGCTCTGATGTTGCTCAGTGGGAGGAAGATGAGGCTTTCTGGTCCTGCAAAGATTTATGGCCTCGGAAACTGTACACTGGGTTGCTGTGAGTCAGAACCAACTTGATGGCACATAACAGCAACAACAAATGAGATGCTACACAAGGAGGTTCATTAACTTTTCTTTAGAATGTCAAAGACTTTTATAATCCATCCGAATGTGAAGTTTTTGTTTTGCTTTTGAATGGATGAATCATGGGGAAATCTCTATCTTGTTCTTTGCCATTGAGTCTGTTTCTACGCACGGTGACCGCAAGTGTGCAGAGGAGAATTCTCAGTAGAGTTTTCAAGACCGTGACCTTTCAGGATCAGATCACCAGACTTTTCTTTCACGGCACCTTTTGGGTAGGGGCCAAGTGACTGACCACATACACCACCCAGGGATCAGGGACTTATTGGAATATTTTCTTTTGTTGAATGATAGTGTTTCCCTGTCTTTGTGTATGATGAATTACTCATCTTGCACTAATTAATAATCACCATTTTCAGTGCCTCCATTAACTGTTTTGAATGCCAGATTTAATCCTCAAGTTTTGTGCCAATGACAAACTGCTTTGAGGTCATTAGGTCCAGGGGCTCACCTAAACTAAATCTCCTCTGTACTATACCAATCAAATTGTTTCAGCATCTCAGCCATCTTTTTTATTTATTTTCTTTACAGGTAATCTCTTTGAACAGAGGTTTATTCAAAACAGGAAAAGACAGAGGGAAGAGGAAAGAGAGTAGGGAAGTGAGGAAGGAGGGTGGGTAGAATTAGAACAGTAAAAGAGTGACTGAATAATGCTTGTTAGTAATCTCATACATGAGCCCTGGATATCCACAGACAAATGTAAAAACCTTCCCTAAAAGCCGAGACTGTAAATTCCAAAAAGGCAAGTTCCCCCCGCACAAAAAAAAAAAAAAAAAAGCTAAAGAGGATAGAGAGAAACACTGTTAACTGATGATATATGGAGGGGATAATAATCAATGTAATGAAACAAGCTATATGAATGGTTGAATGTGAAGCTGATGATGTGCCCTGTAAACTTCCACTCAATCCAAAATAAAAACATTTAATAAAAAAAAAAAAAAAAAAAGAGCGACTGAAACTTTTATCAGTCTCACTTCCAAAGACTTCCCTAGCAAATCTAGCAAGCATTTAAACCCAGTTAAATCTGCTAAACCAGTAAATCCAAAGCTAACTTTGACTGAAGAGATGAAAAGATACCAATAAATCGGTGAGGTTTTTTTTTTTGTTTTTTTTTAATAGCAACAAACTTAGAAAATCTTGAACTTATATCACCAGGAAATAGAAAGCCTCATACGTCATAGGTTGTCACATATATGCTGATTTGAGAACAGGAAGAATATTCATAAAAGATGATTTCTCCCCAAATTTCCTTACATAAAATACAACCCATGGCCTTCAAGTTGTGGAATGTAAATCATTTATTAAACATTTGTCTTTCCACAGTAGTAAAGCTTTGGCACGTACAGTATAAAAAAATAATCACCAACCATAATTATACCAAATTCCTCTTATCAACTGCATACTAAGTGTCTTCAATACAATTTTTTCCATATAAAAATACTGGGAAAAATTGATAAATAACAGGTAAGAGAAAGATCTTCCTAGGCAATTACAAAAATCACTGGGGGGGAAATGAGTACTGTGTCTGTTTTAATATCACAGTAATAAGGACATGCCATTTCTACAGTATTGCGGGCCAGACAGTTAAGTGAAAGCAGAAGTGTTTGGGTAACTTTCCTACTTAACATTTGGATTATATCATTTCAATACATTCTGTATCTTGGTTGGCTGTTTATGCTTCCCTATTGATCCCAAACCAAATCACGAATTAGAATCATTTCATTGAGAATACTGAGTGGTATCAAATACTTCGGAGCAGAACAGGCGACATCCTGCCCTCATTTATGAGAAAAGTCTCAAAACACTCCCAGGGCGATGCTTGGAGAAACTGTTAGTTGAGCTGAAGCTGGAGAAGTTCCTCCGGAGCAAAGGGCTTAAGAAAGAAGCAAACGCTCGAAGATGGGCTCTGCTAACTTCACTCCAGTTTGGGTGGATCTTGGCAGAGAGACAGGGTTTGTTCCTCTGGTTTGAAGACATTACTCTCGGGAATCGTTTCTGTCAGCTTGTACATCTAAAGGCATGAAGCACTCAATTGGGCAATTGACATTCTGTTACAATGGAAGAAGAAGAAACTATTAGTGACAGATATTGGAAAGTGTACAGAAAATAATGGAAGCTTGCAGTCCAATGATGATCCCACAGAGCCACCAGGGATTCTTAACTTTTAGGTAACAGAAAATATTTTTTTCCCTTAGCTCCAAGAATCTAACAATATACTGGCAGCAGCAGTTATTATTAAAGAGTTTAGTACATTGTAACCTGAATGTTATGTTACAGGATGCAATATTCCATTCTTAAACCATTTGTATGATTAAAAAAAAAAGAGAGAAAGAGAGGGCAAGCCTTTAGGACGGTACCTACAGACAGAGACTCCCTACAATGTATGTAACTGAGTTTAGAGGAGAAGCAGTGATGATGAGAAAGCACTTACAGAGTTTGTTCCCTGTTGGTATCTCTGAGAATACTGGTTGTAGGAATGGCCCGGGGAGCCCTCAGGGCCGGCATCAGCCCCGGGTCTGCGACAGTTGTCACAGCGCCAACCCTGAGAGAAGAAACACAGAATCAAGTGGGGTTTATGACAGGCTGGGGACATGAAAGCTTAGTGCTTGAATTAGAAACGAATTTCCGCTCTTATGTAATGGTAAAAACATACACAGTTAATCAGTAAGGATAAGTTTTGATGATGTCTTTACAATTCTTAGAATCCGTCTTGGCTTATTACCCTGAGCTTAGGTTAACTGCCTCTGTGGATGCTTCTCCCTTCTGCTCTCTTACTGTCCTCTTCAAACCCATCCATCTGTTAAGTCTTAAATCAATCCCAACTTCCTTGATATGCTTTCTGCACTCCATGATAGAAGTGGTTTTCATATATCCTTGGGTTTTTAAAGAAGACTTGAGATTCCAATGGACAAATACCCTCGTTGCACAGGAAACTGAGACGCAGAGGAATGAGGGGACGTCACACAGTGGACCACTGGTGGAGACGGGGCTGCTACCAACTTGTTGATTACTGGCCATATTCGTTCTACTGCACCATCATGACTCTATTGGCAAACTCTACAGCCGGTAATGTGGTGGCCTTGAATCTGGCCAGAGGTGAGATGGAATTTCAACTGGGACCAAGCTGGGCCAGTGAGGCATCTCCCTGAGATTTTTGCTAGAATTGTTTGCTAGAACACATACGGTCTTCCACTGTGTCTCCTAAGCCGTTAGGAGGTCAGTGTGAAGCAGACAGGAGTCCTGCTGTAGGATGAAGTCCATGTCAAGGGAAGCCTATCAGAGAGCAAAGACATCCCAGAAACCACCGCTGGAGCAGCTAGGACCCATATGTTCCCGATGACATGAAATCCTGGGACTTTATGGTCTGTAAGCCCTTTTTCAGCCTAACTCGTGTTGGACTTTTCTCTTACAACTAAAAGAACCCCATACAATACAGCACTTTCTATCTTATATGGACATCTAAATATTTCAGACCCATTCCTCCATTTAAGAGCACCTTCCCTCTGGTCCCTACCACAATATCAATAAACAAGTACTTACAAAATCAATGAGTCTTACTTTCATCCAAAAACGTTAACAGTTTCCACTGCTGTGTTTTACTATTACCTTGAGAACTGAGTAAGTGTTACTATGGAAAGGCTTCATGTCTATAAATAACCAGGAGGAAATGCTGAGGCGGGACTGAAAAGCTGCTGCCTGAGAAGCTCACTTTCCAGTATCCATTTCCTCAGCATGCACATTAGCCAGGTGACTGACTGCGTCCTGACACCACAATGTGGGTGCTAGTGAGAGGCGCCCATGTTCGGCACCTTCTCCTCAGCGTTATGGTCTCACTGACAGGCCTCCCTCCCCACTTGGAGCAAGATCAGAGACATTTTCATGGGCTGCCCATGTCCTCAGGTGAGAGCAGAGCTAGGCCTTTGAAAATCCTTCCCCCAGTGCTTGATTCTCCCTAAAAAGAGCCAGTTCAACGTTTTAGAGGAAGCACTGTTATACTTCGTGTAGAGCACACAAAAACTCTCGGCCATCAGAACTCTTTCTTTTTCCTGATCTAAATCGTAGGCCCCGTGTGCCTGGTCTTACCCGTTGGCCTCCGAAGCATGTGCAGGAGCAAATGGCACCGAGATATTCCTTCTGCCACTGTTCTCCTACATTGTACGTCTTCCCATCATCGTAACACGTTGCCTCATCTACAAGGAGGCACAAGACATAAGCAAAAGTAAGACTGTAAACAACAGCACAGACCAAACCACTCTGAAGGGGTGGATCCAGTTTCGGCTCTAATCCTGTGTATACCCAGCCGAAATCTCACATGTTTACGGGGATCACTTCCAAGGAGGTGCTACTTATAGAGATTTTCCAAAGACGACAGCTAAGACACTGGAAAAGCTTCAACAGGAAAATGGAGCTCATATTTTAGAAGTTAAATCTAAAGACCAATAAAGCTTCCTGGTAACATTTCACTGCAGATAATGGCCAAAGTGCTCAGGTTGGAAAAGCGCTAAAGTGCCCTGTAATAACATTAAATCACGTCTCATTTTTGAAGCTTGTCTCCGCTTTCTCAAATCAAAAGATTAACAAACCCACTGTTCATTCCTCAAGGAGACCTAAAGTCTCCATTCGTTTCTGTGAATGAGAATTACAGCCCAGTAATGAGAGAGGGAGTGCGTAATAAGGCACTAAAAATGATCGATGGCGACATACGGGGATCACACTTGAATTCTCCTTTTCCGTTTCCAAGACATGTGCAGCTCATCATCTGGCCATTTTCCCCTTGACGATCCCACTTCTCTCCAATCTTATAGTTCACACCATCGTCATGGCACCATTCTGTGGAGTGGGAGAAACAGGCAGAGTTGTCCGCTTGTTCCGACTCACAGGACGGAGTGCCCTGGGATGTCAGAAACCTTGTATCTAGAAGGACACATTACAGTTTGCCCCATGAGAAACAGCCATATTGTTTGGAGTTCAAATATTATTTTTACCATTTATCATTTGCTGGAAGATTTTAAGAAGCAGTTTATTTCACCATAATCCTTTTGGGTAACCAAAGAATAGTCAGTGATCTTCATTTGAATTCTCACTATGAAGATTTAAAATTTTAGAAAACTAAGTAGGACTAGAGCAGTCTTTTAAGAATAAATCAGAGATGAGAAATCACATTTTGGATTTGCAGAGATTCTGAATAAAAAGAAGTTCAATTAACCCAGAAGGAAAGCCCAGCTCATTTCTACATGTCACACTCTGTTCCATGTAAGAGGGAGAAAAAAAAAAAGAAGGAATCTGGGTAACAAAGCAAAACAAAAACAAACAGAATGATAAATCACTGGTCATTACCCCTACACACAAAAGACTGGTTCTGAAGAGTATCTTGAGAGTGACAAGTATAATAAGATCTGTAACTAGAACACACAATTAAGATACATTTTTAATCTTCCAGGTTTGCACTAAACACACATATGGTAAGCTTGAGTAACACAACATACTACTTTTCCCATTTTATTAACAATTCAACTGTTCATTCAACTTTAAGAAAAAGTATTAGACAATTGTGACATTGACAAAGATTATGTAAGGTAACACCATAGAAGCACTACAATAAACTCACAGCTGTGCTTGACAATTGCACCTAAGTACTTGTCTGGGTAAATCATATACACGCTTAAAGTAGTTCAGTTTCAGAAATTAAAAACCACCTGTTGTTATGCAGCGCTGTAGAGCTGTTTTTGACTCACAGCGACCCTGTATAGGGTTTTGAGAAGTGGCTGGTGGGTTTGAACGGCTGACCTTGCGGTTCAAACTGACCCTGTGGTCCAGAGCATTATTCTGCAGTGTCACACCAGCATGTTCCTAAATTACCTAATTGATGTCAAAAATTACAACTTTTCATCCCTAAACAGCAAACACCAGTTCTCCACTCTGTCTTTCCATCTGCGGAGGCCAAGCAGAGCAGTCTAATTTTAACACGTAAACTCATTCTGAATGAAATTACTTCAGGTATAAGAGCTACATAAAATGCTTTGAAAATCCCAATCAGTGTATTTCCGATTTCTTATTTCCTTAGAATATGATTTCCAGATAAGTCTATAGGAGATGTGCTTATAAAGAAAAATAGTTAATACCTACAAAAATGAGCCAATTATCAATAATAACCAGACCTAAAAATGAAGTATATATAAGTTATATATTCTGATACGAAATCTCAAAGCACAGTCAACTCTCTGATCATTTTAAATTAAAAAAAAAGAAAGAAAATGCACTTATAATTGAGAAATCAGTTTTTCTTCAGTTGAATTTGATTGTGAATTATCTACAAGTAGAATAACTGTACCCACTCCTTTACATGGCTGAGCAATAGTTAAGCAACCAGGGATATGTGTGTGTGTGTGTGTACATGTGATGTATGTGTGTGTTTATATAATGACATGTATAAGGGGGCTCCAAAGAGTTCATGGAAAAAGTGAATGAAAAGATAATGGAAAATTTTCAAGAACTTTGTGAAGTTCCCTCATATATGGTTCTGTTGAATGAGACAGAGTGTGAGTGTTAACCTCACTCAATGTTAATGATTAAAAGAGACTTGGGATTTTTTCACTGTCTGATACACTCTTCAATAGAACTGGCTTCTAAAAGTTTGGCTTTATTAAAGTCCTTCAACAGAAAACTGAAAAAGTTTCCTTATGCTGCATTTGTATTTGCAATGAACACCTATATTAGCATATGACCCCTGAGATGACGCAAGATTCACCAAGTAAAATTTTCCATCATGTTTCTATGATGCAAAATATTACTCTGAGTCAAACAGTATCCCATTGTTTGCTTCATGTTTGGAAGAACCTGTGTCTGGCCAAACATGCTTCCTTAGCAAATGCATGAAACTGGAAGAGATGGACAGACAAGAGGATGGACAAAGCAAACTACTCACTAGATGAGTCACATTTGAAATGACCACTGCCAAAGCCTAAGCAGTGGCAGGAGAGCTTAAAGCCAGATTCAGACAAGCGCTCCCACTCCTCTCCAACGGCGTAATGCGAGACTGTGTAAGGGTCGAAGCACGAGTCGTCCGTGGGTTGGCCCAGGCCTTCATTGACTAGATGAGGAAAAGCAGGAAAAAGAAAAAAACAAACAGATTTTACTGAGAGTTTTGAATCCACAGAACTCATTTAGGGGGCGTATAATCACTTAACCGAAACCAAAAATTCCAGTAACTCCAAGAAACATTCATCTGTCCCATCAGTCCATCAGTGATTCTTGAAACAATGCTGAAATGCGGCCAGAGGATCCTTGACTGAAAGCATCTTAAGAGAAAGCCCATCTTTCATTTATGCTATCATGTTCTATAAATCTACCTTATAGAACATATTGTCAATCTGGAGGGAATTTACACCAATTAACTGTGGTGGGAAGCAAAGGCTGTGCCTGACCCTCTGTCAGAACTTGAGTGATCTTGATGGTCATTAACATTTTCCCACCTCCCTTTTCACATCTGTAATATGGATATATTACAGTAATAATTACTAACAGTAGTATATTACAGTATATAATATAGTATTAATATAGATCTATTATGTAATATATCTATATCGTATAATATAGATATATTATAGTAGTAATATAGTAATACTATTACTAATAGTAGTAATAGCAATTATAATACCTGCATTCTTAGGAATCTTCTGAAGATACGGGGAGAACATGAATTTGAAGCGCTGGCCTTGTTCCAGCCCTCAGGAAGTGCTCACTAAACTAACTATTAGAAAGGCTCCCTTTCACTGAGAATGCAAAAGTCTTGGCATTTTATAAAAACGTGACACATCATATTATCTGTGCTTTTGTTAATGTGTTCACTTTGGCATAATAATGTTATTTTGCAAAACTCTTAGATTGTGTCTATTACCGTAATGATAGGACTGCTTCACTTGATCAAAAAATCAACCATTCCTATCAAGTAAGGGGTAGCATACAGTTCCGGGAACTTAGAAATGAGTACTGAGTGAACTCTCTTCAGGTTAACTTAAGAGTCTTTTTGTTTTGGAAATGCTCATTTAAAAAGAATCTGTGCAAACAAAGACTGGCTCAAGGTATTCTCTAAACAATTAAAATAACCCATTGGACTGGACTGACTGGAAATCCCAGTTGAGCTGTATATATTTCTTTGTCACAGAGCAAGAATCAAAAGCTCAAAAGTAAGCCATATTTGAAGTGACTCATATTTTAAAATGCACCAGCCTGGAAGAAAATTGAGTTTTGGAGAAAGTAGGAAGTCTGAAATGTCTCAAAGCTGGGAGAACCTGACTGGCAGACAGCATGTAGCTGCTGGGAGCAGATGGCTGGAAAGACAAACAGAAGGAGACAAAGCTGTTACTAAGGGCTTCAATACACTAAAATTAGCCAGGAAGTTAAAATCCCTGGCAAAAGTTAGGGAGATGCAACTGGGGGAAAAAAAAGATGTAGTAGACAGGACCTTTGTGCTCTTGAAAATGCCTTTCATGTGGCACGTCTACTCATAAAAGCATCAGAGGGATAAGACAAGTATTACTGTGGATGTGTGATACAGGCAAGCCTAATATAAGTGTTCCCCATCCCCATCCCCACTCCCATTCCAAATAAATATTCAATTGCCTCTGTCACATAAGTTTCTAATTATAAAACAGCAGTCAGATGAGGGAGGAGGCTGAATGAAGCAACTGGCTCAGGGAATAAAGCCTGTTTCTTCGCAGAGGCAGAACTGAACAGAAACCCTCCAGTTGGAAGACTTGGATTCATGGCTTTGATTACTCCCTACTCATTTGATTTGACAAATCATCAGCCACTGCATATTGAAAAGCCTGGTGACACACTATAGCTTTAAAAGAACTTCCCACGTGCTAAAAAGGAGAGTCACTGGCCAATGAGCCTCTGTGGAGGCTTTCAACGTGTATAATCAGGGGTGGGGTGCTCGGGGCGCTGACCTCTCAGAGATCAGGGAGATTTCTGTACAGAAATGGAATGTGGGAGTAGCTTTTTATATTAAGAACACAAGCCAGCCATTCCTAAAGCCTGCAGAAGGGGAATTTCCTTTACTCGGGGAGTCGGTCTCAGGTTCTTAAAAAAGAATGCTTGAGGACAGTAGTCTCATGAGTTTCAAAGGGTCCAGGGAAAGGTATCAGGATCACTGTGCCCCTGTGTCAACTCAGATGTACTTACAAGCAGGGACGAATAAGATTTGAGCTTCCTTCCAGGAATAATAATGTATGACTATTTGAGATTCTATTTATTTGTGCATCTTGAAAAGGTACTAGGATGTTACAGAAGGAATGCAATAGAATTAAAATTGCTCATTCGCTTCATGTTGATGTGTAGAACGGTTCCTCAAAGTTAAAAGGCAAGAGCAGCAAAGGGACAGTCATTAGGAAGCGTCCTCTCAAGTGTGGTCCAGAGAGGTGCCTTCGCTTGAGTAGCACACCAGTTCACATACCAGAGTTGCCCACGGTAACAACCTCCTCCCGAACCTTGTGCCTTCTCTGATCTTTCAGTGCCTCCACTATGATGTTGTAGGTGGCCCCTCTGGTAAGGCCCGTCAGGGTAGCACTAGCAGAAGTTCCAGGAACTCGGAACTGCAATGATTGGTATATCCAGGATAGGGGAGACAGTATTAGCATGAGGAACAGACACGGACCCCCAATTCTCCTATCACTAACCCTTGATGTATAAATCAAGCAGAGGGAGACCAATAAAGAGGGCACACGAGGTCCAATCAGCCAAGACGAGAACTGGAATGAGGATGTGGATCATCTTCAAGATCTTACTGCCAAAAATCTAGCTCGGTGCTCCATAGTTACCAGGAACCTCCTCCTGATCCCACTGCAGTAATGGATCAGTGAAAGTCCAGTGGCAACCCCTGGCTATGCTCCCTTCACACCGAATACAGACACTGTGCTGAACGGGAGACACATTCATGCTGTACATTTCCCAACACTTTGGCAAATCCTCAAGTTTGTATTTCCAGATTTGTAAATCTCCGACAGTGTCATCAGCGTTTAAAAATCCTGCCACTTTCTTATAATAAGATGCAATATAAATTGATACTAGCATGACATAGTCATTTTGGTTCGAGAACCAATCACTGAAAACAGCTGCTACATACAGCTTCATATATATCCTTTTTTCCTTAGATTGTCTATGTTCAAATTCTTCAAAAAACAAGTGACAAGGATGGCATTTTAGTCTTCGTCATGTAAATGTAAATTCAGGCAGAATATTTCTCTCTTGCCTTGCATCATTCCTTTGTCCATAGCACTAAGGCGCCTCGAATGTGTGAGAATAATAGAAATGATTTCATTCACGCCACTAAGTAAGAGCTAGTGGAACATTCTGATGCAGTTCCCAAAATTCAATTAAGATTAAATTAAAATAAAAAAATAAATCAGGGCTTAAACAAGCCACCTTTCTAAGGGGTCCTGGAAGTATCACTGCTTTTCAGTAGCATTCTGGGTATGTCAGCTACCCAGCCTGCCCCTTTCCTCTTTGCCTCATCAGAAGTAAAGAGAAAAAGTAGTTACCTGTAAGGGTTCTTCATTGATCCCAATTGGATGACATGAAATGATATACTCAGAACTTTCCTGGAATGGGGTCCAAGAGATGGTTGTCTGAGAGAGAGCTTCTTGTCCTGTAGAGGCATTTGGATTGAGTCCCAGGATGTGAGGGTAGAGGTGATGGTCTACGTCTCCCCTGGGAACGTGACCAATTTGTATCTCCTCACCTACATTCGGCGGGTATGGTCTTGGCCTATGCCTTACAGGGGTAGCCGTTGTGGGTGGTGTGGTCCGCCTAAAACCATGTTCCTCAAAGATCATTTGTTGCCCAACACTAGGCTGCTGACCGGAAGTGCCAGGAAGCTGAATACCGTTTCCATTGTCATACTCAGGATTGGTGATGAAAGGGGTCTTTTGAACTGTGGAGGGAACATCCAAGATCTCTGGTCCATGAAGATTGGGGTGTGGAAGGGTTACCAGTTGGGGAAGCTCATCTAGCCAGGGAAGGTTAGAGCCAAAAAAGCAAAGCACATTAAGCTCCCAGAAGTAGTAGCATTCATCATTATCAGTTCAAATAATGACTATTTATCAATTTGATCAAAGCTCGTGGCAAATCAGCAGCTCTCAGATCACAAAACACTGTTTCTTTGTGATTTTTTTCAAAGAGTTCTTCATAATTTGGAAAGAAGAAAAGTGTTAGTGTGAATTTATCATACACACAAAGCTTTGAACCGCTGAGCCCCAGGGAAGCTGCCTCTCTCAAATAAACCTAACAAAACTGAAATTGGCAGCCTTTTCTCTTACTCTCTCTCTCTCTCTTTTTCCCATGTGAAAAGCAAGTGGTAAGAATTAGAATCTCATTAATTATATCAGTGTCTGAGGTTTGAGACTTCCAGACATTTGCCTCAACAATTTTTCATGGTTTCAAATGATTAAAAAGCAGGAAAACCAAAAACAAACCTACAACACGCTTAGTTTTTCAAATGTCTTATCAGCAGAAATACAGCATTTGAGTAAAATTAAACTGAAATTGGATGAAAGGGTTAGATGTTATTTGGTTCCACAGTTCAGAAACTAAATAATGAATAAAGACAAATAGGAACGCTTTCTTGCCCTACTTACTTATTTTTTAAAATTTACATTCAATAGAAGATGTAGAAAAAGTATAACAACTTGTTTGTTTTTCATTTTAGTGTCTGGTTTGCATTTGTAAAACATGAACAACAAGCCCTTATATTGACCGGCTGTAGTAAAGAAAGAAATCTGAACTCACAGAGTCTGTTAAAAAGGATTCACTATGCACATGAAACGGTTAGAAAAAATAATTCCATGAGAAATGCATTAAAACCTGGAGACACTTTTCACACTGCCAATTTGACTATTTGAAATCAGTATCGTCTTGCCTTTCTCCCTGGTTACCAGGAGGGAGGGGCCCATTTACCTGTCTTTTTTCTGCCGATCAGGGGCTCACTCTTCAGATTGTTCTTCAGGGCAATGACATAGACTATGTACTCGGTTCCGGGTTCCAGGCCTGTGGAAAGAGCAAAACCCTTGTGTTAGGTGCTTGGACTCAGCTCATAATGTGGAAGTTGGTCTTCTCAGCTGACAAACCCTAGGAGCAGAGAGTCCCTCTCAAGCTGGCCGTGGGCCTCGTGAGGTAAAATCCACATTACTTTTCTTTTTCCATTAAAGACTCAAATACTCTGCTATGATGGTTACCTAGCAAATTGGTCTTACTTTAAAATCTTACTCATGTGCAAACACTTTTATGCTAATTTTCCAGGGTATTCATTTAACATGTGGTCTTATTGGCCTTTTTGAATTCATGGAAATTTATCAGCAATGTACACCTCTAGTGAAATAAATATTTGGTAGTGATCACTGCAGTTTGTATACATGAATCTACTCCGACCTAATAAACAGATATCCTTCAAAGGCAGGATCAGTGAAAAGTCAGATTCAAGGAACATGACTGTGCAGGAAAGAGTAAAAAAATATGTGTGTGGTCATGGGAAAAAGACTCAGCTGTTCCCAGATCGGGTTCTATTTATCTGGGCCCCAAGTCAAAGAAAAACTAGTGTGTCCTTCTGGTTTCTGTATGTTCTGTAAGGAATTGTTGCACAAAAAAAAGCCAGAGATCTATATATTTCCCACAGAAGTGAAATAAGTTAATTGAACAATTTTCATTCCCCTTTTCAAGCACTCTCTCCAGTATGGGTGATGGGGCTTACTTGGCTGTAAGATGTATTCTGTGACACAGGATATAGAAAACAATGGTAGATGACAGTCTGACAAGGTGTTCATGACTACCAGATCTTTAGGGCACTATAAAGCCCCCACTACTGGACCAATATATCCCACCTGAATTTAGAGATCATCTGAAGAACAGATTTGATACATTAAACACCAAAGACCAAAGACCAGAAGAGTTGTAGGATGACATCAAGAACATCATACATGAAGAAAGCAAAAAGTCATTAAGAAGACAAGAAAGAAGGAAAAGGTCAAAATGGATGTCAGAAGAGACACTGAAACTTGCTCTCCAGTGTAGAGATGCTAAAGCAAATGGAAAAAACGAGGCGTTACAAGAGCTGAACGGAAAATTTCAAATATCAGCTCGAGAAGATAAAGCCAAATATTACAACAAAATGTGCAAAGATCTGGAATCAGAAAACCAAAAAGGGAGAACACGCTCAGCATTTCTCAAGCTGGAGGAACTGAAGAAAAAATTCAAGCCTCGACTTTCATTACTGGAAGATTCTCTGGGCAAATTATTGAACGATGCAGAAAACATCAAGAGAAGATGGAAGGAATACACAGAGTCACTGTACCAAAAGGAAATGGTTAATATTCAACCTTTTCAAGAGGTACATTTGACCAAGAGCCAATGACACTGAAGGAGAAAGTCCAAGGTGCATTGAAGGAATTGGCAAAGAACAAGGCACCAGGAATTGATGGAATAAAAATTGAAATGTTTCAAGAAAGCGAGGCAGCACTGGAGGCACTCACTCATCTCTGCCAAGAAATTTGGAAGACAACTATCTGGCCGACTGATTGGAAGTGATCTGAATTTGTGCACATTCCAAAGAGAGGTGACCCAAAGGAATGTGGAAATCATTAGACAATCTCTTTGATATCCCATTCGAGTAAAGTTTTACTAAAGGTAATACAGAAATGGCTGCAAGCATACATTGACAGAGAACTTCCAGAGGTTCAAGCCAGATTCAGAAGAGGCCGTGGAACAAGGGTTATCATTGCTGTTGTCTTATGGATCTTGGCTGAAAGCAGAGAATATCGGAAAGATGTTTACCTGTGCTTTATTGACTACACAACACAATTTGATTGTGTGGATCATGACAAGCTATGGACAACATTGCTAAGTATGAGTATTCCGGAACACTTAATAGTGCTCATGAAGAGTCCGTACAAGGACCAAGAGGCAGTTGTTCAAACAGAGCATGGGAACACTCAATGGTTTAAAATTAAGAAACGTGTGTGACAAGGTTGTATTCTTTCACCATACTTATTCAACCTGTAAACCAGAGATATGCAGGTGATACAACCTTACTTGCTGAAAGTGAAGAGGACTTGAAACATTTACTGATGAACATCAAAGAGCACAGCCTTCACTATGGATTACATCTCAATATCAAGAAAACAAAAATCCTCACTACTGGACCAATAAACAGCACTCTTATGAACAGAGAAAAGATTGAAGTTGTCAAGGACTTCATTCTTCTTGGATCAACTATAAACACTCATGGGAGCAGCAGTCAAGAAATCAAATGATGTATTGCATTAAGCAAATCTGCCACACAAGACCTTTTTTAAAGTGTTGAAGAGCAAAGATGTCAGCTTGAAGACAAAGGTGCACCTGACCTAAGCCATGGTATTTTCAGTAACCTCATATGCATGCTAAAGCTGGACAGTGAATAAGGAAGACAGTAGAAGAATGGATGCTTCTGAGTTATGGCGCTGGAGAAGAATATTGAAAGTGCCATGGGCTGCCAAAAGAACCAATAGATCTGTCTTGGATAAAGTGCAAACAGCGTGCTCCTTGGAGATCAAGATGGCCAAACCTCGTCTCTCATACTTTGGATATATTGTCAGGATAGACCAGTCACTGGAGAAGGATATCATGTTTGGTAAGGTGGAGGGTCAGAGAAAAAGAGGAAGACCCCAATGAGATGGACTGGCTAAGTGGCAGCAGTGGCAAGCGTGGCAACAGTAGTGATGTTGGCCCAGGATCGGACAGTGTTTCGTTCCGCTGTGCATAAGTTCACTATGAGTTGGTACTGACTCGATGGCACCTAACAACAACAACTGGACCAATTAGCAACATCATGATAAATGGAAAAAAATTGAAATTGTTGAGGATTTCATTTTACTTGGATCCTCGATCAACATTCGTGGAACCAGCAGTCAAGAAATCAAATGACATACTGCACTGAACAAATCTGCTGCAAAAGGCCTCATTAATGTGTTAAAAAGCAAAGATATCACTTTGAGAACTAGGGTAACACTGACCTAAGATAAGCCATGGCATTTTCAATGGCCTCATATGCATGTTAAAGCTGGACAATGAATAAAGAAGATTGAAGAAGAATTGATTTATTTAAATTAAGGTGTTGGCAAAGAATATTGGATATGCCATGGAATGCCAGAAGAATGAATAAATCTGTCTTTAAAAAGTATAGGGCAGGGGTGGGGGGTGGGGGTGGAGGGCTACAAGCTTTCAAGAGGGAACCTAGATCCAGAGGGCCTGGAGGAAGGTAGAATCTCCAGTGAGTAGTATTCAATCTGACTAGGCGTGGCTTATGCAATGAAATGCAGACGGGGCTCTTGTGATACAATAGTGAATAATTGTTATCAGGACTGATTGTGAGGGTCGAAAAGGTAAAGGTAGACGTTTTATAACAAGGAAGGGAGTGATTAACTTTTCAGTCTAGGAGCGGAGGTCCCTAGGACCATCAAGGGAGAAGAGCAGAGAGCGGGACCCTACCCAGAGAAGCAGTGATGCCTGAAATGGAGCCAAAGATGATGACGTGGAGCGATGGAGCAGCTGGAGACTTTAGATCCAGAGAGGGAGAGCGACTGTGTGCTGAAGACCTGGGGAGTACGGGGAAGGATTGCATGGAGGGGATTGTAACCATGGCAATGAGACGATATACGATAGAATGAATGTAAAACTAATGTTCTCCCATGTAAACTATCACATAATTCACAATAAAACATTTAAGAAAAAAAGAAAAATGTACAGCCAGAAAGCTCCTTAGTAACTCTGGTAGCGTAGTGGTTACGAATCAGGCTGCGAACCTTAAGGCCAGCAGTTCGAAACTACCAGCCGCTCCGCGGGAGAAAGATGAGGCGTTCTGCTCCCGTAAAGATTTACAGCCTCGGAAACCCTGTACAGGGTCGCTATGGGTCGGAACCGACTCGATGGCACTTAACAACAACAACAACAAGTATGGATGACAAGATTTCATCTCATGTACTTTGGACATGCCGTCAGGAAGGACTATCCTTGGAGAAGGAAATCATGTTGGGTAAAGTAGAGAATTAGCAAAATAGAGGAAGATCCTCAGTGTGGTGGAATGGCCCCGAGGCTGCAACAATGGGTTCAAACACAATGGGTTCAAACTGTGGAGGATGCAGGAGCATGTGGTGTTTCATTCTGTTGTATGAATCACTATGAGTTGGAACAAATCCTTTGGCACCTAACAACCGCAACCACAGAGGGACCTAATAGCGATGACAAGATCACAATTTGTTGCCTTTGCAAAATATCTTTTCCCAAAACTGAATAAAAAGGTTTATAGAGGGAAAATCTTAAACAACAGTCTAGTTAAGTCATTGTGACCATACTGAAATCATTACATTTTCATTGATGTATCCCTTTTGAAATGCATTGAGCCCTGTAGATCCTAGACAGAGCATGCTTTCTGAAGTTCTTGGAAACAGACCCTCGTGTTCTCGTGGTACATATAGCATGAAAGACATGCTAAAAATATCATGCATCCTCAGGAGTAAGGAAGGAAACGACACTATAGAAGGAGCAATACCTGTAATAGTAGCTTCTGTGACACCAGGGCGAGGTCGAGGGACTACTTCTCTGGAAGGGGATCCAGGCTTCTCATACTTGATGATATAGCCAGTAATCTTGGCACGAGGTGGCTGCCAGGACACCAGTAGGGAGTTGGGTGTGGTGGCCAGGAAACGCAGGTTGGATGGCGCATCAATGGCTTAAATTGAAAAACAAGAATACAAAATTAAGTTTCTAAGAAAATGGATAATGAAGAAAGTTACTCCCTGCCTCTTCTCCCAATTCTTATAACAGAGTGAATAGAATCCGAGAGTTCTGTAAATGGTAGAAATGATTTGCTGTGACCTGTTAAGTAAAAACATCAGCTTCACACATTCCCTGAGCTCACGTGACTAATTGCAGATGTCGATGACATCTACTTCTTCAATACAAAGTGCAGTTACCTGTGGAGGCATCTATGACCACAGGTGAGCTCCGGGAGTTGTCGTTCAGGGTGTACAGGTAGATCTTGTAGTCTGTGCCTGGTTGCAAACCTGGGATATGAGAAGAGATGGTTTGTATCTGTTCGTGCTCGACTAGGACAATTTTCACACTCATCTGTCATCTTTCTGGTTCCTCTACTCTGGTAGCGTAATGATTACAAATTAGGCTGCTAATCTCAAAGTCAGCAGCTCGAAACTACCAGCAGTTCTGTGAGAGAAAGATGAGGCTTTCAGCTCCCGTAAAGATTTACAGCCTCAGAAACCCTGTACAGGGTCGCTATGGGTCGGCATTGACTTGACAGCACTTAACAACAACAACCATTCCGTATTTATGTAGACCACGTTCGCAGTCCATCTTTAAACAATAAATTACAATGTGAAAAGGGTGTGACCTGTGAAGGAGAAACTACCTCGGAAGAAAATCACCCAAAGACATTGGCTAAAATAAATGTTAAAATATAAAAATTTGTTGGCTATCAGTTTCCCTCTTGGAGAACGTAAGGACAACACTTTTTAAAGGGGCTCTCCCTGAAGGTTACCAGATACTCAGTGATTGGTAGCTAGCATCAGAATTTTAAAGCTCAAAAAGACACTGACCTGGAGAGAGAACATTTTCTAACTGTAACTTTCATCTTCATTAAGTGATAGTGTTTATTCGGTTCAATTTAATTATGCTTTCCCACTTAACCATGTTAATACTAAGAACTATACACCACCATTTAGTTTCTTTTGGACTTAAGTATTATGTTGATTTTTTTAAAAATGAAAAAGGCCACAATTTTTTTTTTCCATGGTGGGTGAATGACGCTGATGCCATTTCGCTGACACGTATTAGCTGAAGCCAGGCATTCAAAGAACAAAACTATTTTGGAGGTGGTCCAGTGGTTAAGAGCTTGCCTGCTATTTGAAAGGTCAACAGTTCCAACCCACCAGCTGTTCTGCAAGAGAAAGATATGGAAGAGTTGGCTTCAATAAAAATTACAACCTTCGGAGCCTGCTTTACGGGCAGTTCTACCCTGTCCCAAAGAGTTGCTATGCATTGGAATCACCTTGACAACAACAGGTTTGGATTTGTTTGTTTTTTTGAGGGGTATGTTGCTTTGTTGTTTAGTGCCATAGAATCAGTTCTGACTCTAGTGATCTTACATAGGGTTTCCAAGGAGTGATTGGTGGGTTTGAATTGCCTTGACCCTATAGCATCACATCTAGTATGTAAATATCTTTTTCAAAAACATAAATGGATAACCACAAAAATGAAACATGGATTTAGTCAGTTTCAGCGGTAGAATTATGACTGAACTCATTTACATTGTGACAGCGGTTACTAAATGTCAGGGCAGTGAGTCTTCTAACCTGTGATAGTATAGCTTCGAACATCTGGCTTGATGGTTCTTTGAATCGGGGCCTGCCCGTTGGATGGGATGGCATCAACTTGGAAGCCAGTGATGGTCTCCGTCTTGGTCCTCCAGCTAAGGGTGATGGTGGTCTCAGTTGTATCTGTCACGCGGGCCCGCCTTGGAGGGCTAACATCTGCACAGCATCAGAGCCAATGGGTTAGTGCCTGCTTGGCTCATAGATGTGAAGGTATTGTGAAACATTTCCTTATTATACATACATTTCCTTATTATACATCAAATACATGCACTGCAGAAAATCCATTCCTAGTAATGTGTAGGTGTTTTTTGGTGGTATCCGGAGAGAAAAGGTTGACAGTAATTAGGAAATTGAAAAATATTCACCTCTCATGTCTTTTTTTGTCTGAAGAACTGAAAAGCTGTACAGATCCTACGAGTGGTTCCTAGGACTGTCTTTCCAGTGCCTACTAATAGCTCAAGGAAGTGTGAAAATAATCAATTTATTATCATGTAAATTATGTATAGTAGGAGTTATAATAATAGGGCCAGCCAGTATTAATATATATATATTTCCTTGCTAATAATTTTCAATTATAAACAGCTTCATATATTTTCTCTCAATAGATGAAACACCACCCCCATCTTATAGATGAGGAAATGTTGACAATTTATAGGACTTCTCAGTGAGTAGGCAGTGGCTTATTGATGTGGTGGAAAATGAAATCTGAACCTGATTTACTCCAATACTTATTGCGTAATAGGACATAATAAAAGGCAGTATGTCCTCTCCAAGCATAATTTCATAAAAACACAATGGTAAGGTCAGAGCACTCACTGGGTGTGAATCTACATTGTTAACATTAAAAAGGGATTCCCTTTTATGGGCCATTAGACCACTTTCCAGAAGGGAATAAAGGGCGACAGTCACTAAGTCAAAAAATGATGGGTGATCAAGCAGATTTCCAAACTAGGAATCCTTCAACTGTTACCTTAGCAAACCAGAAGATCATTTCCTATTCTTTAATTTTTGTTTATATATTACTGAAACATTTGATTACATACTCTCCAGAGTAGTGACGACTCCCTGAGCTGGTCTGCTGGTCAGAGTGTCCTTAAGAGCATAGATGCTCACTTCATATTTGGTGGCCACCTAGAAATAAAGGGCATGGTAAGATTTAGCAAGGTGGTCTTCCGAAGCCCCACAGTCTTCACTACAGCATTAGGTGAAGAGCGGTGGCTATAAAAGAAAGGATGAGTACATTGGCCTGTGAGCAGTTCAAACCCACCAGCTGCTCTCCATGGGAGAAAGGAGAGACTTCCTGCTCCCACGAAGATGTAAAGCCTCATAAACCTTACTATGAGTTGGAACCTGCTCAACAGCATTTAACAACAATGTAGAAAAAGGGGATAAAAATAGCAAATCCTGTAACACTGTAAACACCTACATTAATAGTATTCCTCTATTGCTCAAATTCAATGAATTAAAAATATTATTTCAGGGGTTAGGCCCAAGTAAGACATAGCTTACATACTTATTTAAGGAGATGAAAAAGTAAGAAAATGTTATTAGCATATTTTTATGATCTGACTGATGTAAACAATGATTTTTTCTGATGGTAGAAAGGCAAAGAGAACGCTTCATTTGCTCCTTGACCTCTTTCTGTAGTTTCTCCCAGAACTGGCCTCGTGTTAGGAAATATATCAATCACGGGGGTTCTTGGCTAATTTTCTACATGCACGTTGTTGAGAAGGATTAAACAAGTTTGAATTTACAGCCTCGGAAACCCTGTTCAGGGTCACTATGGGCCGGAATCGACTCGACGGCACTTAACAACAACAATGAGGCTAGGGTCAAGGTGGTTTGGTACAAACTGAAGACTATTCCTTTCAGAGGTGACTGAGGTCAGAAAATGCATATAGCTCACTGGATCGATGCATTCAGCCAGTGGGTATGTTAATTGATTCTCCCCCCAACACATAACCTTTTGAAGTAGTAAGCAGTGTCTACAAGAACTAGGCAAAATCCAAAACTATTTATGAAATGCTGTCCCAAATGTTCATCTGTTAACCTTAAGTCTACATTAAGGAATTCTACTTAATTAGGTTTCTTATTCAATGAAACCTGTGAGAGCTGGAACACACTGAGGGCAGCCTTGTTTTTCCAGGTCTCATAGGTTTCCCACCTTTAACAAGGTTCTCTCCATGGAAAATATTTGAGTTTTCCTTCTCTAACAGGTTTCTGCCTTATCCAGGTTCTGGCTCTCACAGGTTTTACTGTATCTCTACGATTTTATAAACTGTACCACCACCCATGTGTCAGTTTGCTAGATGGCGGTACCTTGCATTTTGCTATGATACTGGAAACTGTGGCACTGATATTTCAAATACCAGTTGGACCACCTGTTTAACCAGAACTTTCAAACTAAGACAGCTAAGGAAAAATGCCTGGCGGTCTATGTGTGTCCGACAGTCAGTCAATGAAAACCCCACAGATCATGAAAGAATTGTCTGATGAGCCCCCAGCTTGGAAGGCACTCAAAACACACAATACATACAACAATGGCTCAAGCATACCAACTACTATAGCACAGCAGAGACTGAGCAGCATTTGGTCCCCACGCATCAGAGCTGACCCAATAGCAGTGTAACTGATGACTGTGGACACCGTGTGAGGATGCCCAACTTCTTTATTCCAGTGGAAGATGGTCAGTACTTACCATCAGTCCTGATATTACCACAGATGAACTGTCAGGAGCAAGGTTGATTTCTTTCATTGGCCCAGTCTTCTCCTTGGGTGTCACCCGCACTCGATATCCAGTGAGCTGAACATTGGGTGCTGTCCACTGGGCAGACACACTGGTTGGTGTCACCTGAGAGAACCTCAGGTTGGTCGGTGCAGGAATGGCTGTTGGGATGGTCATTGGTTAGAGGTTATGTTATAGGAAATGGGGGAACAGGAAACAGTGAATTCAAAGACGTATAATATTCTTGTTTGATCAGGTGCATATTCTGGTCACTCAGCACAGGAAGGTATATGAATAGATACAAACTGAAGAAATACACGTGTTCACTGGAAAATACATTTTGTATCACCTATCCTCAGAATCACTGGAAAGTCTTGGGTAAAACCAGGACTTTAGGTTTTAGAAGTGGTTTTTTTTTTTTCTCTCTCTTAAAAACAAAATAAAGTCAAATTGGTTTATTGTCCATTAGATTTTCCATTTGTATGGAAAAAGAAGCAATAGCTCTTTTTCTATATAAATTATCTTTGCATGGAAAACCATTTCATAAAGTGTTCCATCCAAAAAAGATAGAATTATGTTTTTATTGTCTTTTTTATTTGGACCCCATGGCAGATATCGCTACTAAATCTGAAGTGTTCTCTGTGGCGCAGCATAAGAAGAAAATCAGCTTACAACAGAAGCCGAGAAGAGAAGCGAAGAGTAATAATACAGATTGTCACCTCCAGGGTTTATGTTGTCACTAGGAAACATCTTTAGCATTCGCTTCTGCTTCAGAAACAAAGCAGAAGTTAAAATAGTGTCAAAAACATTTGCCCTATCAATGCTTTCCCTGTTCTGATTCATAATCCTTGAAGCAAATTACACACCCCACACATGGTATATCTAACTAGAGAGGAAAGTTCTAGCCCATGTGTTCTCAGGATGCTGCTGCTATATAAGGCCCCAGTTGGGGCTCCTTTATTGGAGTCAAAACTATGATGCTAAATATCTTTCCTTTATACACAGTAAGGGGAAACTACAGAGAGTCATAGTTCAGGAAGCAATCCATAATTCTAGATGTTTATTCTTATCCCATTAGATGGGAATCCAGGAGCCCTGGTGGCACAGTAGGTTAAGCATCAGGGTGCTAAGCACAGAATCGGCAGTTCTAACCCACCAGCTACTCCGTATGAGAAAGATGAGGCTGTCTGTGTCCGTAAAGATTTACAGTTTTGGAAACTCTAAACAGGGTTCCCATGTGCCAGAATCGATTCAGTGAAGGGCTAGACTGCCATCAAGGAGACCAGGTGGCACAATGATGAAATGCTTGGCTGCTAACCAAAAGGTCTGAATCCACCTGCCTTCTCTCCTTGAGAGCAAGATGTGGTAGGCTGCTTCTGTAAAGATGACTGTCTTGGTAGCTCTATGGCGTGGTTCAACTCTGTCCTACAGGGTTGCTATGAGTTGAAATTGACTTGACAGTAATGGATTTGCTTTGGATTTTGGGTTAGATGGGAATTAATAGCCCGATAAAGTATATTTCACTCATCAGGGCATAAAGTCGCTGCTCCCAAGAGCACCCTGGTGGTGCAATTAACGATATACCTGTGGACTGGGTTCCAATCAGGGGCTGGCTCTCCATATCATCGTGCAAGGCAACCACACTGACTGTGTACTCAGAACCCGGCCTGAGGCCTTGCAGCTCTGCAGTGTCTTCTTCACCATCAGGTGCAGGGAAGAGCTCATGGATTCCATCCTCAGGGCTCGAGTAGGTTACCCTGTACCTGGAAACCTGCCCCTGTGGGCTTTCCCAAGCAATTTTGATGGAATCGACATCCACATCAGTGAATGCCAGTCCTTTAGGGCGATCAATGTCTGTTAGGCAAATTAATGGTAAGAGGTTATGTGAAAAGCAAGTTGTGAAATAAAGCATTTTTATCACATGCAAAGCAGTTTTGCAGGTATCATTTTCTTTGATGAATTAAATTCCAATTAACCCACTACTAAATGTAAAATTTCCCAATACAGTCTTAATTTTATTATTTTTTTTCAGTTTAGAAACCATTTTATGTTGCATCACTTGATAAAACATAAGCACACATAGGCAAAATTATTAAAATTAATTTTAAGATTGTCTATCAAGATTGATTTTTGCAATGTGGTGTTAGTCTCATAGACCTGGATTTTCCATACCTTGGAAGTGGTAAAGTTGATTGTCTTTTTTTTTTAAAATGATTTATTTTATTCTTTGTGTTGTTCAAAATATAAACACCAGAACGTACACCATTCCAGCAATTTCTACAGGCGCAATTCCATGATATTGGTTACATTCTTTAAGCTGTGCAATCACTCTCACCCTTCTTCTAAATTGTTCCTTCCCAATTAATACATCCCACAACTTCCTATCCGACTTCACGAGGGGCTGGTGCCAATCTGATCCCATGTAGATATTTCTTTAAAAGAGCACAAGGCTCAAAGCAGACATTCTTTACTCATTAAGTTAAACTATTCCTTGGTGTGATGCTGTAGGATAAGCACTGGACTGCAAACCACAAAGTCGGCAGTTCAAACTTGTCAGCTGCTTCTCGGAAACCCTATACAAGATCGCTACGAGTCAGAATTGACTCGACAACACTTAACAACAACAACATTTTTTGGTTTAAAGAAGATTTGAGGGAATGGTTTCAGTTTATGGTTCATCGTTTGGGGGAGTTCATCTAGCCTCAATAGCTCTAAAAAGTCTGGATTCCATGAGAATTTTAACATTTGTTTTCCAGTTTCAATATTTGGATCAGGATTTTTCTACAGGATCAGTAAAGTTGATGTTCAATATGAGATTCTGACTGCTGCTATTTTATTTAGCTCTTTTCCACCCAACCTCCCCTATCTAGATATTTGCATTAAATGCTGAGCCAGCTGATGGTCTCTAAGTGTCTCCACATAACAATTAATAACTGCTTAGGAGCATTTCAATCAACTTTACCACCCAGTCGTAGAAAATAAGGTCCTAGGCAAAATGCTTTGTAAATTTGCTATAGGCAAACAAGATTTTGCTTAGGCCATTGGAGCAAAAGAAATCAAAGCACAGCAACTAAGTATGGTCATTCCATCACTTCTTTCCTTTGAGTTCACTGGTTGGAACTGAGAAGGAAAAAGGCTTGTGAAGGGCGCCACTCAAGGCACAAACTTGTCCAACAAGTTGACTTTCCTTAGGTGTAACAGCAAAAGACAAGCAAAGGGTACTCATCAACTCCTAGGAACAAAAGCTGACTTAGAAAGTGGAAATGGAACATTGGTCACGTACTGGTTACTGCTGTCTGCACCAGAGGCTGACTCTCTCCATTTTGATTCTGAGCATAGACACTAACCACATACTCCATGGTGGGCTGCAAGCCCTCGATGGTCATTTCTGTTTGATCTGCAAAGAGAGTAAAAAGCAAACTCAGTATCAATGTCATCCCCGATCAAGTTGGTCAAGCCATTCAAGTGAACTTAAAAATCTAGTAAAAAATGTGTGGTGGCTTAAAGTGTTCAGACTTCTTTGCTGAATTATGATAGGAATATGGAAGAGTCAGACATCTATTTCTTCATGGGCAAACATGTTCACTGTTAATACAAATTTCCACAAAGGAGTAAAGTCACAGCAAAGGATAAGCTCTAAATTTTATTAATGAAGCCTTCAACAATGAACTGATCTTGTTCTTGTAAAATTCAAATTAACTTGACTTTAGAGATTTTGCCTAAGATTTTAATTCTTGAGAACTGTGTATATGGAAAAAGGCAGCTAGGTCATCTTCTTCATGGTGTATATGAGCAACAAAACCACAGAGGTAAATCTAATAAAGAAAGGTGTTTAGACCACCTGAGAGAACCCTGCATCTAAACCCAGAAATGTACTGATCCGAAAACTTCTACTGAGAAATGAGTTGGTACCGGTCCTGAACCCTGTGTTCACAAACTTTGCGTATTATACGGAAAGTAAGGTACTTGTGGCCAGGTGGCCATTTCTTCTCAAAAGAATACTGTGTGTTCCTTTCTGTTCTGCTCGATGCGAGAGGCTGGGTATTCTTACCTGGGCCTGCAGTTTGCGTTTTCGATGGTCCTGGGCCATTTTTGGGAGTGGTGGTCACTCTGTAACCAGTAACAGGGGCATTTGAAGGCAGCCACCTGACACTAATGCTGTTGTCTTGAACGTCAGTCACTTGCATTTGGGATGGTTTGTCTATTTCTACACACAAAAACAAAGAGAAACCAGTGAGGGTTCCAGTAGTGCAAACAAGGCCTGGTTTCTTGCCCTGATACACACCCAAAGGATCTGTTCTTACACTTTATAATTCCTAGGTGCTTCTTTTTGAAGAAATATGAAGATGGCTTTGGGGGTGTGGAAGTATGTTAACTATATACCATGTCATTCATTCACAAGGAATCTGCTTTCAACCCCAAGTGACATTCCAATGAGGTGGTCATTCTTTACCTTATCAGCTCCTTCACTTATTCATTCAGCAAATAATTATTGACCATGAGCACCCTATGTCCCCTGTCACTAATGCAGGCATAATGAATAATATCAATGAACAAAACAGACACAAATCCCTGTCCTTAGGCCACTTCTTTTTATATCTGGCTAGAAACACTGTAAGCAGTCGATGTTGTTTTGTTTTACTTAAAAACAAAATCAATTCCACAATGATAAAACTACCTTGAGAGAACATTGTAAAAAAAAAAAAAAAAAAAAGACCGGAATCAATAAACCTGTGTCATCCCGGAAGAGTTATACCTGTTCGATAATCAATGGAAATGGGCTTGCTGTTTGATGGACTGTCCCCCCGGCCGGTGACAGCATACAGAGTGATGGTATAGTTGACTCCAGGTTTAAGGCCGGTGATGGTGGCTGTAGACTGGCTCCCAGGCACTGTGAATTCTTGGACAGGACTATTTCCTCCTGTAGGTAAAGGGTTTGTTCAGAGGGTTCAGTACTGATTAAGTGAATTCCTACATCAAGAGCAACTAGTAAGTGATGCCTCACTGCTCATTTCCTTCTCAAGAGTGCTACGATTAGGTTCTGGTCAGAAAGCTGTGTTTACCCATGTGGTAAACCTTGGTAAATGTGAGGGAAGGGGAAATTGGAGTTAATGCTACTTTAACATTTCAGCTTGAAAATGTCAGTGAGTTTTTAGGGTAACATTAGGAGGCCCGCAAGTACAGGAATACATACTTGGTCGTTTTTCACCCCCATGTGGGAGATATAGGAAAATAAAAAAGAACTATCATTGTATTATTTTACTATTGATGATACAGTGGTGAACTTACTTCAGATTCAGTCTTCCTCAGCTCTACTGTTGCACCTCTAGCTGTATTATATTAAGAAAAGCCAGTTGTTATGGAATCGATTCTTACTCATGGTGACCTCATATATGTCAGAGTAGAAATGGCTCCGTATATTTTGTTTTTAATTGACAAATGTGTTTATTTTTTTAACAATAATTTTAAAATGCATGGGAAAAGTATGCATTACTTTAAAAAATGAAGAGGATTTGAGCTCAGACAAGATACAATTCTATCTGAAGGCAGCTATCTGATAAATCTGTTCTCTTGTGTGGATTAAACACATTCAGTAATTACAATTTTGATGACCATTATTGAACATTTCATTAGAGTTAGGATCTTTACAAAGCAGAGACAGGCTGTTGTGATTAGGTATACGCAATTCCCAAGGAATAGTCAAGTCCAACTAGACTCTTCCTGATCCACTTCCATCCCACTCCCCTAAATGAAGATGTAGCAACACTAGAGAGAAACAAAAGTGAACCACTGCCACCCCTTCTCCCCACTGACAACAGACTTATAACCTTAGAACACGTCCTAGTGTGGCACTGTGGGTTGATACGCTGGACTGCAAAGTCAGTTTGAATCGCAACCTCACCAGTTGCTCCTCAGAAACCCTATACAGGGTTGCTATGAGTCGGAACCGACTCAACAGCACCTAACTGCAACAACTTCAAATAATCTCTTTAGAAGTCTGAGGAATGGTGTAACTGATACATCAGGGCCTTGCTCTTCTCATTATCCAAGGCAAAATAATCCACTTCTGGGAGAAAAATCCATGGTTTCTATTTGTCTGAAGCAATTGCCAAGATCCATTATTGTTTTTACTGGCTATGGTTTGGCTCTTGGAGACAAGAATCTTGACTGTATGTCTACAACTCCACAATTATAATGGCAAGCCACATACTCTCCATTCCTCATTATATGATGATTGCTTAATCCATATATACTGCTGATAAAACAGATTTATCAGCAAATCAGCATTTCCTAAAATCCACAACCCAAACACAAACTTCCCCTTCCCCTGAAGTGGCCTATGTTTTCTTACTATCTGAAGAGAATGTGGATGCTGCAACCCTACCATTAGTTTTCATGATACCAAATCAATTCTTCAGTCTTCACTGACAGCGAATGAAATATCTAACAACACCATTTATGAGCAAGGACTAAAACCTGTGGCTAAAACCTCTTCTCTGTTAGAACTAAAACAAGGCTTAAAGACCAGAAACTCTTCCAAATAGATGCTCTGGATTTTAGGATTAATTTTTCCATGAACCTGAAAGAGCAATACAATATCTAGCCCAGCAACCATCACAACTTGAGTTCCAGGATGGACCTGCCAGACGAGATTTGAGTTCTAGTAGAACGTTCAGCATCAGCATTTTGGCAGTTCTTCAAGGTCAAGCTTCCTTTTGGAAATCGATGAGGATATGCACAATTCAGTCCATTGCAACAAATAAGTCATCTTCATCTACTCTGCGTTCATCATTTGGAGATATTTCCCACTCATTAGCCTCGCCCAGGCAGCAGCCCTGCCATGGCATGCTAAAAGTCTCTTTTGAAGTTTGTCTTTTGAAAGTTTACTTTCACTGGCATTTTTCATCATATCTTTGTGAAACCGACTGTTCATATGTCAACCATTTCCTCATCTTCATCTTCTCCATCCACCCAAACTGACCTCTTTTGAGGGGAGAAACTATCTCTTGCTTCATTCTCCACTTGCGAGTCTCCATATTGCCCACATTCTTGCATCGGTGGGCCTCGTCATCCTCAATCTCCTGGAGGGCCAGCTTCTCCACGCATCACTCTACAGCCGTAGTGCTCGCTGCACTCGGCCACCCGGCCTCACACTGGTTCTCTGTTCTGGCTTCACTGGGGTCCTCCGGTGTGGCTTTCCTCTTGCACCCCGGTTCGGTTCCTCTACCTCTTTGGTTTTGTGGAGAAGTGCAGGCACTGACATGGAACCTGTCTGCATGTGCGCCAGGACTGTTAGCTCTCTGTCACCCTGAGGCGCAGCCGGTTTTTATTAGAAGTAGATCACCAGGCCTGTCTTCTGAGATATCTCTGGATGGACTTGAACCACCAACTTTTGATTAGTAGCTGAAGCCGCTAACCATTTGCACTCTCAGGGAAATCCCAGTGGTATTATGTAAACAACTTTTGATCTTGATTTTCCCATTAAAACTAATGCTGTTGAGTTGACTCATAAGCAACCCTATAGAACAGAATAGAGATGCCCCATAGAGTTTCCAAGGCTGTAAACCTTTATAAGATGCAGTCGCTTTTTACCATGGAGTGGCTGGTAGGTTTGAACCGCCAACCTTTCTGTCAGTAGCCAAGTGATTAACCAGTTGACTTTACTATCAACTGTACCCTAACTATCCTTGGATAAGACAAGGTTCCATTGAGTAGAGCTGATTCAAGTCATTGAATTCCATTTCCGTTGTTGGGCTCTCAGGTAGCTAAGAGACTTGGAAACGGCATTTTGCTCACTCACCAGTTTCTCCATAGGTGATCTTGTAAAACCTCACGGACAGGGCAGGAGGATCCCAGCTGATCAGTAAGCTATTAGGAGTCGTGGCAATAACTTGCAGGTCCCTTGGAACATCAGAAACTGGGGGAATAAAGGGGAATAATTTCACATAGGTGAAATAACTTTCCAATAATGCCCAGATTCATTCTTCACCTGCCAGAGACTTGTCTTTATGACTTTGTCATATAATAAGGTGACTACTAAACAAAACGAGCAGAATGAAAAAATTATGAGTAAGTCAAGTTGTGATAACATGATTATCTCCAATTTATTGAATGATTCTTTACCTCATTTTTATGTTGAGAAAACATACAAGTATTGAGAAGCTACACAAAGCACATAATACCTACCCATACACCCTTCACTTAGATTTGCTAATTGATAAGGTTTTGCCATATTTGCATCTCTCTCTCTCCCTTCTTTTTCTCTTTTTTTGGTTCATCCATTTGAGACTAAAGTACAGTAGTCATGTTGGCACTTAACCCTATATACTTGAGTATATATTTCCTCAGAACAATGACCTTGTGTGCTAAAATTATAACGAAACCAATGACAGCCGGAAATTGGTGGACTAACTTGTTTTCACGGGTCTCAAGATGTTGTCTCCTTTGACAGGGTGCCCTCCATAGAGGCGCAACTCTGCCCAACATAAAGGTTCATAAAACTCATGTGAGACATTATTCTGAACAATGCAGGTAATCCTAATGAATTAAGAATCTACTACACAGCAGGAAAATTGTCAAGAATTCAGTTAATCTCAAATTCAAGATTACCGTTTTTCTATCTCCTCTTTTGGAGTCCTAGTGTGGGGCTATAGGATAAGCATGTGACTGCTAACTGCAAGGTGGACAATTCAAATCCACCAACCTCGAAAACCCTATACTGAGAAACTTCTTTGGAGAAAGGAGATCTTATTTAATACATTCTAAGAGGGAGAGTTCCTCCATATGTCCTCTCACTTCCTTCCCCATGTCTCCTATCCATCATCTATTCTCTAAGAGATGATGATCAGACAACACAAAGACAGTTCATGAGAGAATGTGTTTTCATAGTGCAGCCCTCCGAGTTGCCTTGCAGTAAGAAGACAAGTTACCTGTTGATTGTTGGCCAACTAATGGGGCACTTTTCTCTTTGCCATTGAGAGCAACGACGCTGACCACATACTCGGTCCCTGGTTTGAGGTTGGTGAGGGTGATGGAATTCCGAGAGGGGGGCACGCGATCTTCCCGGGGCCTTCCAACACTCTGCTCAGGATGATGGCGAATCCAGTAGCCAGTGACGGGGGTTCGAGGAGACATCCAATGCACAGTGAAAGAGTTGGCAGTGATATCAGAAAAGTCAATGCCAGTTGGGGAATCAAGCCCTGTTTTTTCCAGTCAGGGGAGGAGGAGGAAAAGAAGATATCACCAGCTTAAGAAGTGAAGAATGAAGGGATAAATACCATACATACAATGTTTTGTCATTTTTTAAAAAACAACAAAATAGTTTGTCATACATCTCTGGTAATGATATATTTATTTTAAGCCACCTATGTATTTCAAAATCATAAAGTTAAGTGACTTAGTTCACATGGCCACTTGAAGCATTCTTTGTGTTTTCTTTCACTAGGCACAGTAATCCAAATAATTTTATGTGTCATTCATTATAGTATGCATCTGCATTACATCTAAAGTTAGGCATTTAAGATAATCTGGGAATTTACCATTTGAAATGCTTCAGTGTTCAAACATTCTATATTTTGATCCTATAAATGTTACTTTCAAAGTAAGGCAAGATCTGCCACCCCCTCTAGAAGGAATCGATTTGTCAATAAAGGCACAACTATGCCAAACATGAAGATTCATAAAACTAAAGTAAGACATTATTCTGAAAAAAAAAAACAAAAATGCAGATAATTTCTCATGAATTAAGAAGTTATTACATCACAGGAAAATTAACAAGAATTCAGTTAATCTCAAATCACTTAACCTCTCTGAGGATTCTAGCAAATTCCCATTACAGGTACAGCATTCCCTTATTCTGTTCAATAACACGCTCAGGCCAAACAGAAGTCACGACTCCCTTTAAAAAGCAAGTAGACTATAAATGAATTCATAGATATACTAAGCTGTACTTTTTTAAAAAGTAAAAATAAAAAGAAGCATCCATCCTAAGAAAGGGCATAATATTTATGAATTCAACTTTCCTTATATGATAAATGAATATTTCATCACATTAAAAAAAAAAAGGGATAAACTTGGGGACTTAGTAAAGAAAGGAAAATACTTAGATAACAATGTGACGCTGCTAGGTTAGTCATTAAACAGAATCACCTGATGAGAAGGAATATCCGCCATCTATAAATAACGGAGATCATAGAGAATTCTTCTAGGGGTCTTTTTTAAAGGATAAATGACAACATTTCTGGACTACTGTCTGTCCTCTCTGGAAGCAGAGAGTAGAATCTTAAAGGTTGAATTTGGTACCTTTAATTTTTGAAGACCAGTGCTCAAAAAGTAATGGCATCGCCACCAAACAGAAAGATGTGTTTCTTTAGAACTACCATTCCACTTTGATATTTAAAATTAGTGGGTGAAAGCCACTTGATAAGTGTGTTGCTACCATGACTCACCTGTTTTCTGTCTTCCTTTAAGAGGCATGCTCTCATGTTGTTCATAAACACTGGAGACGCTGATTAAATATTCTGTGCCAGGCAGGAGATCTAAAGAGGCAAGTGGAATTTATGTTAATCTTATACGTGAAAGCATGAAACCCTCCTGGGACTATCTCTACTGATGAAATATCCAAACATCCAGTCCTATCACCCACTTACACCTCAGTGAATGTCTGTACCTCCAGATGGTAGGTGATAAAGAAGGGTTGCCTTACCCTCCAGTACCTCAAAGCCCTGTAATCAGTCCCACCTCTGTGAATGTGACCCAGACATGTGCCACAAAACACTGGAGGGCTGATTCTCCATAAAAAAAAAATTAAAAAAAAGAAATGCCTGTGGGAAATAATATTTCTTCCATCCACTTGATGTTATGTCTATTAAGAACACATAGCAATGATTGTGGTACGGATGGATTATCATTTATTCCTTAGGACAGCCCTCTGAGGTGGCATCATTATTTGTCTTTAGCAGTTTTACTATCATATGATAAACTGCATATATTGAAAGTGTAAATTTGACATATTTGATCTCAGAATGCTCCTCTGAAACTATCGCCACATTCAAGACAATGAACGTACACATTACTTCCAAAAGATTTAGTTTACATCAATTAATCCCATTTTACAATGGAAAAAAACTGAGGCAGAGAGAAGATAAATGACTTACTCAAGACCACACAGAACTCAACTCAGGCCAGGAGCAGTGCTCCTTACAATGAACCTTTTACTGAGAAAAAGTCACACTCTAAAAAAGAAGTGATCGGTTCTGCCACAGTAAGGTGAGAACAAAATACTTCAAAGTATTAGGTATACATGATGACGAGTCTCTTCCGCCATTTTGAGATGACAGGAAGGTGCAGAGTAAGGTTTCTGACTAAACTCTGAATTTCTCCTTGCTAGACTCCCACTTCCCTCCACACCATCTCCCCTCCAGCCTATTTGTAGGGACAACTGCAGGATTTGAGCAAGCACTATGTTAGTCCTAGGGGGCACCATGATGATTTTCCTCCTTTCTGCTCAATCAGGGACAATTTACTTCACCATAGAACACCAGTTGCTTTATCTGTGAAACGTGGTTAATGATGGCTTCCCTGGGAGAAGATGGTCACTTTGACATTCGTTGTAACATGAAGATCTTTCATAACGTCTTAGAGAACATGACCGACATATGACCAACATACGACTACGATGGGGGAGACAGTGGTCATGATATGTTGTGTTTATGTGTCGTTGAGTCAATTCTGACTCATAGCATCCCTGTATAGGGTTTTCAAGGAGCAGCTGGTGAGTTTGAACCACCAACCTTGCAGTTTAAAGTGACCTTATGGTCAAGTGCTGTAGCACCACACCAGGACTCCAGGTTGTGATATGTTGTTGTTGTTGTTATGTGCCGTGGAGTCGGTTCAGGTTGTGATATAGGGACTTTTATATTGGATGGTGCCGTAACTACTAATTCCAGATTGCTCCATTGTACAAACAATGCTTTTGTTAAGTGCCATCGAGTCAGTTTTGACGCAGAGTGAAGCTGTATAAGAATTTCTAGGAGTGGCTGGTGAGTTTGAACCGTCAACCTTGTGGTTAGCAGTCCAGTGTTTATCCTGCAGTGCCACACCAGGTCTCCCAATAAGTAGAAACAATAGTCCCACCTAGATGCAAACATAAGCATGCCCCTGCTCTCACCCTCAGCCAGGACATGAGAAACCGGGATCATGGTCATGCTGAGCTGCCTCTCTTTGTGTGTCATGCTGCAAAATATGTTTGAAAGGTACAGGGTTTTTTAACATCATCATTTGGAAATAAATGCTTTTTTCCTTACATGGAATCTTTTTCTGTTCTGATATACAGTGTAGTGAAAAAAATAAGGAGCAACCTTATGTGAAGCATAGCAGGGAACTCTTCTATTCTTTACTAAACAATGCCTAAAAGGGGAGGGACTAGAAAGAGACAGTTTCAATAAATTGTTGTTACTTTTTAATGTGAGTAGTTTTTCAAGTCCTCAGTCTCCCGAGGAATCCTACTAACAGAGTCTTTTTGAAGTACAAATTAAACCTTAGAATCTTTCTTTAAAATAGCATCCTGATCTAGCCTAAGTTTTCAAATGTTAGATTACCTGTTGACACCTTTAAAAAAACAAAACAAAACAGAGAATGAACTAGATATGGTGACACTAGTTCCAATCCTTCAGATACGTTTCTCTTGCTAAACAATCAAATTTAGGCATAGAATTTTTCTTCTGACATTCACTTGTATTAATGTGCTTGTTTGAAAGCTTAATTTAAAGTCTTTGAACTTCATTGCTGGGTTTTTGGTTTTGTTTTCATCTCTGGCTTCTGGAAAAGTTGTAGATATCAATGTTACTAATGTGACAGTAAACATTACACCTGTCAAAATTTGGTGCTGTTGAGTCAGTTCTGACTCATAGGGACCCACGTGTAACAATGAAACCTCGTTCCGTCCTGTGTCATTCTCACAGCTGTAAGTGTGTTAGACCTGATGTTTCCAGCCACTGTGTCAGTCCACCTCAAGCGTCTTCCTTTTGTTTCTGAGCCTCTATCTATCGTGATGTTCTTCTCCAGGAGAAAATTGGTCCCTGAGGACAGAATGTCCAAAGACAGCGAGACAAAGTGTCACCAGTCTCACATCTAATGGGTACTTCTCCCAACACAGATTTGCTCCTTTTTCCGACTGTCCATGAATGAAAAATTTATAGACTTACATGTCAGGTTTAGAGTTTAGTAACTCTGTTATATCTCTCCTACACTTGTTGTTGTTGTTAAGTACTGTGGAGTTGGTTCCGACTCATAGTGACCCTCCATAGGGTTTCCGAGGCTGCAAATCATTCCGGGAGCAGAAAGCCTCATCTTTCTCCTGTGGAACAGCTGGTAGTTTTGAACTGCCGACCTGGAGGTTAGCAGCCAGATTCGTAACCACTACGTTACCAGAGCTCCTACTCTTAAGTGCTGTCAGATTGGTTCCAACTAATATTGACCCTGTATAGGGTTTCTGTGGAGTACTGGTGTAGTGCTGCGGGTTAATGCACTGACTGGACTGCAAAGTCGCTTTGAGCCACAAGGTTGGCGGTTCAAGCACTCCAGTTGCTCCTCAGAAACTCTATACAGCGTCACTGTGAGTCAGAAACTTAACAACAACAACAAGGGTTTCTGTAGTCTGGCCACTTCCAGCCATTCCACAGGAGAAAACTGAGGCTTTCTGCTCCTGTAAGGATTTGCAACCTCAGAAACCCTATACAGGGTCACTATGAGTCGGAACTACCTTTATGGTACTTAACCAACACCACCAGAGGGTTTCTGTGGAGTAGCTGTTGGGTTTGAACCGTCATCCTTGCAGTTAGCAGTCCAGTGCCATACCAGAATTCCCTCTTGCTTTTACTTGCTCCTGGTGTGGCACTATAGGATCAGCACTGGACTGCTAACTACAAGCTGATGGTTCAAACCTACCATCTGCATCTTGGAAACCCTATACAGGGTCTCTATGAGTCAAAACTGACTCCACAGCACTCAACAACAACAACTTCGAACTCAGAGTCTATTCATTAGACTGTAGGGTACGATTTCCGGAACAAACACATTTGACTACTTACTTGCTAAGACCACTGCGTTGTCTGAAGGAGAAATCGACAACTCCGCAACGTCTTCCTCATTTTTCACAGGTGAGTAACGCACTAGGAAGTTGGTCAGTTCAATAGATGGAGGTGGGGCCCAGGTGACACGTATGGTGTCTGGACCAATATTGGTGAATCTCAGGTCAGTGGGAGGAGGGACAGCTGGGTTCAAATAATAACAAAGACTAAGTTAGTGCCATTCTAAAATTAAAGCTAACAACAACAACAGCAACAAAAAACTGGAAAGTGAAAACCAGTATTTCATGCACGAAGGAAACAGTAATAATCATGCAAATGATCTAAATCTAATCTAAATCCTATTCTACTACTGTTAAAATTGAAACACTACACACAGTACTGTTAGGCCCCTTTAACCTTTCTGCCATCATCAGTATTAAGAAAAAATGTTCATCTAGTTTCAAAGACATTCATTGTAAGAACCTTATCAATGGCACTGAAGATGATTTTAACCTGAGGCTGAAGAGGCTTAAGTTGCCACACAGCAAAGAGAAACATAGCAGTACTTTTCAAACAAACACATGCACACAGACAGGGAGTCAAGAGGGGTCTCAATTCTGCACTGATGGGGGACATCTACAGCTATCATACAGCTACATATCTGCTTAGTGACTTCTACTCACAAGTGAAAAAGGTTCATGCAAATAGGTTCTCGGCATGTTTCTTACCATGCAGGGCAGAGAACCTTTATAATGCTGCATGCTCGTCCCCAGACTCTGGTTAAAGAGGTGTTTCTAAATAATCATGCTAAATAGCAGTGAAACCTAGAATGCTCTTAAACAAATTTTCCTTCTGCCCCAGAACAACTTCTTTCCAGTCTACCCTTACTCTCAATGGGTTTCCAGTTGTCTACAAAGAAGAACGTGGTACCATTTGTCAAAGGGGAGAAGAGCCCAATGGTACATTCTGGAAGTTCATTTCTTCTTGTTAACTGGTACTGATTATACAATTTAAGATTAATGTTGAGATATTTAAAAAAAAAATACCCAAGGTCTGCAAATTTAGTAACTTTGCCATGCTGTACTGAGCAGGTGAGGTCTCTATATTCCTTTAGCTTTCTGCCTATTTGTGGTTGAAATGCTAGCGCACTTAAGACGATTTGCTAATGGCTTTCATTCAGTCAGCAAATATGCCTTAGCCTCCTTATCCCTGAAATCCCATCTTGGCTAAGTTGTTGGGTGCTCCCTGGAAACATCCAGATTTAACCGGAGTGACTGGTGGCAGCATGCAACACTATCCACGTCTCAAACACAGAAGGTTTCAAAATTCACCCGTTTGTTGTGTCAGTGTAGTAGGGGCACTCTCTCCGCCATTAATGAGAGTGATAACGCTGATGTCATAGTCAATGCCCGGCTCCAGCCCTGTAACTGTGTAGTATCCTACTGAGGAGTCCACAAAATCTTCAAAAATAGGGATACCTTCTCCTGCCGCAACTACTGTGATGCGGTACCCAATAATGGTGGAAGAGTTTAGCGGGGTCCACCTCAGACCGATGCTTGAATCGGTTATGTCAACAAAGCTTAGGTCAGTGAGTTGGGGCACCTCTATTGAGTTACAAAGCAAAGGGGGTGGGGCAAAAGGAAAATAGAGGCAAAAAAAAGAGGGGGGGAAAAAAAGCAGTGTATATCAGGTTATAAGAAGTAAAAACTGATGGATTGTTAAAGCAATGATGGTAATATGCAATCTGTTTCAATTGATCTGCAAAGATATCCTAAGCTCTATGAATAGCTTGATTCCCCCAGGGAATAAAACAGGTGACAATATTCACTTAGGGATTTTCTTGCATTTTTAAAATTTCCCTCTATAGCACAGCTTGAACTTCTCATGTTCCTAAAAATCAAAGTTTAGAACATCAATACCATTCCTAGAAACTTAAGACATTGGGTTGGCAGTTAAGTATCAGCAATGTATTTTTTTTGGTTTTGTTTTATTTTTCAAATCCAAAACTTTTTAGTAGGAAACAAAGCTTGCATGAAAAGGTTAAAGAAAAAAATGACTGATGGGTTTTATTCCATATGAAAACTCATCATAACATCATGATCATAATGCTAGGCATTATGAATGTCTGAGGTGAAATATGCCATTCAAAAACACATTCAGGCAGGCTGAGGGAAATAGGCCTGAGTCCAAAGCCATTGCCAATATTTTGTTGAATTCCTAATCAGAGTTATTTACTTAGCATTAGTAAAAGCATTCTACCAAAGAGTGCAAGGGGAAACCAATCTGTTCAGTGCTTCATTCTCTCACAATTAAATTTGAGATGTGTTAACAACAGGTCTATCTCTAGATAGGTCTCTTTAGTGTTGTCCTTCACCCCACAGGAAGGGACACCCTGAAGGTGTCCACACCCTGAAGGTGTGGTCTGTACTTCTTTTTTCAGTTTTAAAAAAGAAGGGTTTGAAACCACAAGATAAAGAATGCACATGTCATCCAGGTGCTAATTCAGCGCTCATCTATGAAGACAGAGATTCTTTTATAGATAGCTGTTGAAAATGGATGAGGACTGTAAAATCAGGCACAGATGTACCGATGGGCTGCATTTACCATATTACTTTGAGCCTGTCAGTATTGAGCACACACACATGACATGGGTTTAGTAGTATTTCCACGTGAGCGGGCAGTACAGAGTTAACGCCGTGGGTACCACTGCGTTCAGTACATACCCATCACAGCACAGACAGTGAAGCAGTGTTAACAGCAAGCGTTTCTCCAAATAGTTGGTTTAACTTCAGGGCTTTGGCGAGTGTGGCCAGGAGATGAGAATTAAATCCTAAATACATTTGACACACTCAACCATCTGGGGATTAAGATGCTAATCCCTACTTTTATCGAAACTGCCACTCTGAGGATAACAGCTTATTTTCCCATTACCTGGGATGATGGTATCAGAGATAGGGACACTTTCCTTGTCATCTTTGACAGTGTAAACACTGACATTGTACTCCACGCCAGGACTCAGATTTTCAAAAGTGCAGGAACTTTGATCGGAGTCGACAACTTCTTCCAAAGAATATCCCTGCTGGCCGTTGGTGGGGGTTGTGGTAATTCTGTAACCAGAAATGTCTACCAAAAACAGAAAGGAGAGAGTTAGTGCACCGAGCATTTGTGGTCCAGAGTACAGTAAACTAGACTCGGATGCTGGGCTCATAGAGGGAGTTGGGGGGAAGACTTCGTGTCTAGTGAGACTCTAGTAAGTTGGCATGGACTCAGCAGCAATGGGTTTGGATTTTGTGTTCTTATTCAAGGTTTACAACAACCCTATGAGGTACGTATTATTCTTCTCTTTAGTTTAAAGAAAAGTTCAGAAAATGAAAGTAATTACTAAAGGCCTTCCAGTCTCCAAATTTCATCTCCTTCCACTGCTTTATCATGCTTTTCCTTAACAATTACCTGCAGGAAACCTGAGGACTATTCTATTCTAACTGCCTAGCTTGGAATCATTCTTATCTTTAAGCACATAGAGCACTCTCCTAATTGAAAAGGTCTGAAGGTATGGGACTTACAGTAAGGGAACAAATAGAGGTGATAAAGTGAAAAATACAGCTATACCTAGAGAAAGACTATTAACTGCTAAAGACTTCAGTAATCATAGAAATTATATAGTAAGAGGGGAAGGAGAGATACATTCAAATAAAAACAATGATGACCAGACACTTTCAGGAACAGATATAAAAAAATGGAGAAATTGTAGTTTAAGTTAAATTTACTAAAGGCTAGGGAAATTTTGGAATATTCCTAATCCGGCTACATGGAAGGAACATGTTTCGATCACGGTGTTACAGTGATGATCTGGATGGGCAGGTTAGAGCATTAAGACTGGATATTAATGATCAGGTTGCAAACAAACAGAAAACTTGTCAACTTAAAATTTCACTCAGTTTAACATGGCGGGGAAATTGTGCAGCATTGGCTTAAACTTTGTTTCCAGAAGGAATGAAAACATCACCAAAAAGTACTCTCGTTCAGGGGATGATTAAAAAGGATATTTTGAGCTCATTTATTCCATCTAAATTTAGAGGTAATTGTCTAACCTGTATATCCAAGCAAAGGAAAGGCCTGTTTAAGAAATTACAATAAAATAGGAAATGATGAGATATTAAGCTAATACCCACGACCCTCTGACATCAATTTGATTATGACTCATAGCAACCGGATAGGACAGAGCAGAAATGCCCCATAGGGTTCCTGAAGCTGTAAATCTTCACAGAAGAAGACTGCCTCACTGTTCTCCTATGAAGTGGCTAGTGGGTTTGAACCAGCAACCTTTGGTTAGCAGCCAAGTGCTTTTAGTAGGTGTAGCAGTTAAGGATGCGATCAACTTTAATTGAAACATTTCTTTTTGTTTTAACTTATCATTTTCTCCATAATGAGGGTCGTAATATTTCAGTAGTAGTTGTCGTTAGGTGCCATCGATTTAATTCTGACTCCAAGTGAGTGTATGCACAACAAAATGATCCTGTACTGTCCTCACATTCTCACAATTGTTCTGTTTGCGTTCACTGGGTCAGTCCATTTCATTGAGGGCTTCCTCTCTTTCGTGGACACTCCACTTGACCAAGCATGAGGTCCTTCTCCAAGAACTGTTTCTTCCAGAAACATGCCCAAAGTACAAAAGATGAAGAAGTCTCGCCAACCTCACTTCTAAGGAGCATTGGGACTCTACTTCTTCCAAGCCAGATTGGATAGTTCTTCTGGAAGTCTACAGTACTTTCAGTATTCTTTGCCAACACCATAATTCAATGCATCAATAGTAGTTTCCCCAGTATACCCAATATCAAGTAATACAAGACATCTTAGCTAGACATTTTCATTTAAAAAGGCTTTCACGTGGGTTTGGCAAAGGCAGCTAAATAAAGAGTATTTTAAATTTCTTGTTATGCCAAAATAGATCATATTACTTGACTATTGCTATTATACATTTTATGGACCCTTGGAGGTGCAGTGGTTAAATGCTCAGCTGCTAACTGAAAGTCCTCTCTCACTAGTACTCTTGGATCCTGGTTTGGCATTGCAGGATTATCACTTGACTGGTAATCTCAAGGTCAGCAGTTCAAATCCACCAGTTGCTCCTTGGAAACCCTATACATAGTCCCTATGGAACTAACTCGATGGCACTTAACAACAACAACAGCAGTCTCTCTGAAGGACAAAGACAGAGCAGCTTGCTTCCATAACTATCATAGTCTTGGACTCTATGGGCAGTTCTATTATCTTACAAAGTCACAGTGAATCAAAATCGACTCGATGCCAAAGTTCATACATTTTAGGATTTCATAAAGAATTTTCAATGTGTGTAAACAAAGAAATTTAAACAAAAGCTTTGTTTAAAGTTGTAAATTTAAACAAATTTAAACAAATTTCTCGGTGTTGAGTATAAGTATGAAAGAAATAGTAATGATTAATTTACTAATTTGTGATGCTATGTGTGAGGAGTCAAAAAACAATTTATAATTCTAGTGTTCTGGAACATTTATTATATATGAGCAATTTATTTGAAAAAAATAGGTCAATTTTTTCCTAAATCTCTGTTTCCTTATCTGTAACATGGAGATAATTTCTGCCCTTCATAACCCAAGGGTTTTTGTGGTGCAACTCATCAAAAAAATATCTATGAAATGTCACTGAATAAACTTAGAATTTCTAGTAACTTACAACAGGAAAATTATATGGTATGCTGTCGGCAATTTGTTTGATAACATTGAATGTCACAAGTAAAAGGCACCTTTCAAAGTACTTTTTCCTTAACCCTCCCATTACCTATAGCCTGGTAAGCATCTGCCTTTTCCTATACCTTAGGAGTCCTGGTGCGGTGCTGTTAGGTGGTTCAAACTCACCAGCTAGTCCTTGGAACCCCTATATAAGGTTGTTTTAAGTTGGAATAAACAGGACGGCACTTAAGGACACAATACAATACGGTGCAAGATTATTTCTTTCCTTTGATTAAAAAAATTTAAAAATATCTCCCTATATAAGACTTTGTGATGTACACTAATCTTGTATTTTGTATTAAGAGTTGAGTACTTATCATTTTGACCCTGTTTGTCTCAGATAGGGAACAATCTTTAAAATCTTTGTCTTGGAAGGTATTGCACAGACTGGCTCTTTGATTCGTCCCAGCCTTACCTGGAGTGGTGCTTCTCTCCCATGATACAATGAGCACGCCAGTGTCAGGGTTTGCTTCCAAGTGCAAGTTGGTTGGTGGAGACAAGGCTATGCAGAAAGAAAAAAATTAAATTGGAAGTTACAGCCAACACAAAGCATTTGGATTGTAGAATACTTCATGCCTTCTGGTTCACTTTTCTTTTTTAAAATAGAATCAGTAAAATACAGAAATTGTATTCTTGAAGCATGGTAGAGATCAATTCTCTCTCTGATAGAAATTTTTTTTTTTGTTTTGCAATATTATGAGTGATTTTGCAACATTATTGAACTTCTTTCTGTCTTATTCATAATATTGACATGGAAAGAATGCTTTCGATGCACTGGAATATGTAACATGAGTTGAACCTGCTACTCCAAATTAAAAACAGCAAATAATACATGTGGGATGAGAAATTCCTGTTCAACTCTCACAAGCAAAAAGCGTTATGATGTTAGCATTTTTATAAGGTGGCTTTAAAAACTATAAGCAATGGAAAGGGAAAAAAGAGCTCTCCTTACGTGTCACAACTCTGTTCACAATCGGTCTATCTCTCTCCTTCCCATCTCTCAGGACTGAGATGGTATAAATATATTCCGTGCCTGGAGTCAGGCCAGACACAACGATGCTTCCCGAGTCTGAAGTCACTTCTCGTGGTGCCTCCCCTCCCTGGCTTGGCCGGACACCGAGCTAGAAGGAAAGTAAAATAAATCCCAATGACAAATATTTCCAGAGCTGAGTACTGCTGAGAAACTGTGGCTACACTTTACATAATGTGAAACTCCTGAAGCTGCACAGTTTACCTGTACTACGGGGTGTGTAGGACCTTATTTTAGCTCTATTATGCATTTGATCTGTGTGGTGCTATAGGATAAGCACTGAATTGCTATTCACAAGGTTGGTGGTTCAGACCCACCAGTAGTGCCTTGAAACCAATGCTTGACAACAGCATGAGACGAAAAAAAAAAAAACTTAAATGGATGCAACCACAATTTTAAATTCTTTTAAGATTCTGTTTTAAAACCTTGGTATCCTTATGTT